AAAAGCATTTGTTCAACTATGTTCATAGCAGTATTATTTGTAATAGCCAGAACCTGGAAACAACCTAGATGCCCTTCAATGGAAGAATGGATGAAGAAAGTGTGGAATATATACACATTAGAGTACTATGCTGCGGTAAAAAATAATGACTTCTCAAATTTTGCATGCAAATGGATGGAAATAGAAAACACTATCCTGAGCGAGGTAACCCAGACCCAAAAAGATGAACATGGGATGTACTCACTCATAATTGGTTTCTAGCCACAAATAAAGGTCACAGAGTGTATACCTGGTGAACCTAAAGAAGCTAAACAAGAAGGTTAACCCAAGAAAAAACATATAGTTATCCTCTTGGCTAAGGGAAGTAGACAAAATTGCCTGGGGACCTTCTGTAGTATAATGACTTAACCAATACAGAGGTACTGCATACATGAAGATAAGAAAGTTTGCATCCTGGGCCCACCTGGCACCTTCTGATGCTGGGCAGATGGGGCACTGTTATGGTGAGGAAATGTACAGTGTTATGGGGAGGGGAACAGAACGGGTCACTTCCTGTGGACACAGGCGTATCTGAAGAAGTGACATGATGATGTCTTGGCCTGAGCTGCTGCCCATGCCTAGGTTCATGCCCTGATGCAGTCACGGCCTGTGGTCCTTGATACCATGAAAGGAAGAGAGGATAGGGCTATACAGAGTTAGCCTCACACCACTCTGCTGCAACACTAGGGAGAACTGGTCCTGTCCCTCATCAGCTGAAGCACTCAGAAGAGAGGGCCCGGACACCTCACCTGAGCAGCACAGTGGAGCTGACACTGTTCACAGGGGGTTCTCTGTGGGGGTTGAGAACGGGAGAGCCGATTGTACCCCTCTCATCTGCCATGGTGGTAGCATGGGTGAGGGAAAGATGCCCTCCTCTCCTCACCCCTCGATACCTGCAGCAGGTGGGGGACATGGCCCAACTCTTTAGGAGAACAAGCCCTGTGCCTCACCCTGAGATCATGACAGGGGCACAGCTGGTACTGCCTCTTTTGTCTGCAGTGTGGTGGGGGGACGAGGAAATGTGCCCTCTCCCCCATCCCATACTATCTCCAGCTGGAGAAGAAAAGCAGGCCCGGCACCTTGTATGGGTAGTACAACAGAGCTGATCCTGTTGACAGGGCACAGATATGTTGCTGGAGAACACGAGCTTGGGAGATCTGGACCTGTCCCTCACCAGCCAAACGGCGGCATGGGCTTGGAAGAGATGCCTCCCCCACCCCAATCAGTGCCTGAGGCAGGTGGGAGAGCTGTTGCAGTTATTCATCTGTCAAGTGGCAGCATGGGCAGGGAAGAGATCCGCCCCCTCTGCCTCATGGGAGAGCTGGTCCAGAGGTCATAAAGGCAGGAGAGCTATCCCTGCCCCTCATCGGCTGCAGCACTCGGGAGTGACCTCTACACCTTGCCTGGATAACACAGTAGAGCTGGCCCTGAAGGTGTGGGTGTGGGAGAACCAATCCTGAGGTTGTGAAACCACGAGAACAGACCCCACCTCTTGCTCTCTGCTGCAAGGGGTGACCTAGCCAGAGCAATGCTGGAGAACTCACCCTGGTGGTAAAGGGGAGAGCTGGCGGACTGACCAACCCTGCAACTGCCCAGGCCCGGAACTGAGGTTAAATGTTGACCCACTCCAAATCCACCCCATCTGTGATCTGCTGGCGCACACAGGTGGGGGTAGGCAGTCCTGCAGACCCAGGGCTACAGGATGTCCATGACACGGCAGCAACAGGATGTGCAGGACGAGTCCCGGTCCTCCTTTCCATCTGTATGGGATATTTTTGCCCTCCCTTTACTTTTAACTTATAAGTGTCCCTTTAAGTCACAGTTGACTCTCTTATAAATAGCATTCACTTACTTTGTGTCTTATGACTGGAGAATTACTTCACAAGTAATTACTGTCAATACTACTAATGCAATCTTGCTATTTTCTGTTTTGAAGCTCCTTTGTTCTCAGCTTCTTTTGCTTTCTCTCCCTGATTAATGACTTCTATAAAAAGTATGTTTTGATTCTTTTCTCTTTATCATTTGTGTATCTCCTAAGTGCTTTGCCTTTGTATTGAGCACGAGGCATGCATAAAACATCTCAAACTTGTTTCAGAGTAAGCGTTTATAACTGACCATTTAGAATGATGTACAAAACGTTTGTATTGTTATTCTCTTCCATACAATTAAAGTTTCCAAGTCACAAATTATTGTTTTTATGTATTCTTCAGGAAACAATTGTAGTTAAAGTTACTTTTAGCATTTCTGCCTTTTAAGTTCTACACAAGAATTAAAAGTGACCTAAATATCACAGTCCCAATAACAAAATATTCTTGTATGTAAGTTTTACTTTCATAGTTGGACATGGTGACAATCGGTGCTATTTTACTTCAGCCTAATGAAGTGTCTGTATCAGTGTCACAGCTGGAGAGTTATGAAGTCTCTCAGCTATTCTTTATCTCTTTTATTTCTAATGGACAGTTTTGACAAGTAAATTCTTGGTTGATAGTTTTGTTCTACTTGAAATAAACCATCCCACTCTACCTGGTTGATATAGTAGGATATAAGGGTAGATTAGTGAATCTACGTAGTAAAAAAGATATAGAAATTATAGTATAAACAGATAGATTATTGAATCTACTCTGAAAAAAAAAAAAAGAAAAAGAAAAGCTTCTCGCAGGCCCCATGTCAAAGTCAGTTGTCTCCTGTCATTGTGGACAAAACTCCTTTCCAGAGCAACTGAAGAACCTACTGCCTACTATAAAATACCTTACT